TGATTTATTCTTATGCTGGCTTTATTCCTATCCAAACTCAATTCTTATCTGGTCTTCACCTTTGGGCTTAGTGGAGTCATCTGATGAAAGTAGGTGCCTCTTAGGAAACCTGACACTGCAGTGGAGGAAACTTGTGTTAGGCTGCTTCTCACCAGTATTGGAATGGGGACAGATATGGAAGTCCTTTGCATGATTTCTCTTGCATCTGCATGCTGTGAGGGATTACAGGCAAGACATGTGGATCAGTTTTGCACCAGAGGCTTAATCTGAATGCAAATATTAATTTGCAGCCTTAAATGACCACAGTTATGCTTCTTTTATATTGAAACCTGTTGTAAGCAGGCCAGTTTTGGCACAGGGTAAACAATTTCCAGGCCTCAAGGTTATTTTCTCTCACTTGTGTTCTTCTCTTTCACTATTTGTTGACTTTTCAAATGTCACTCAAGCTCTGTATAACTGTTCATGGCACCAGTTGTTACTGTTTTCCATGCTGATTCAGCATCTTGGAATTTGTAGCTAACCTTTCTCTCTTCTGTATTCCAGATGCCATTGCTAGCATTTTATTGCAACAAAATTCCTTTTGGTATCATCCCTTCCATGACTCTCTATAGAATTATCTATTTAGCTTTGCTTTCTCAACCAGGCACAGTATCATTAACAGTGTGTATAAATTCCTCTAAAAACTTCCGGACAAAATCCAGAACCTGCATAGATAGCCAAGCCAAAAGCCCAACAGATGAATGCTGGGAAAAACATGCAAAGCTCCAGAGAGGCTGATGATCAACGGGTTAAGTGCCCACAGGGGATCCATGAAGACCGTGAGTGAAGAAAGGAGAGGATACATTTAGTGATGGGTTATGTGTCTGTGCTTTGCCATCTGAACTTTCCATCTCCTTGCCAACATAACCAGAAAGCATTTCAATGATACAAAGAATTTACTTGCTACAGGCCCTTTATCTATCTCCCTCTTTTGTACTGAGGTAGAACAAGAGGAGAAAAACGATTGTCAAAAAAGTCCTCAGACAGCGTCCCTTGATGGTGATCTAAATTGCTATGTGGTCCTTTGTGTAGGCTCTCTACATGGGGGTAGATTTCCTCTCTTGAGGATATGATGGAACCAAACGACACATGGAGTGTTGATAAATTATATTGCCTATCCAAGGCTAGTATACAACACTTGCTATGAAATTTATTTTAGTTAAATGTAGATGGATCTAGTTCTTTTGAAAGTTTTAGGTGCTTGTTGTCACTATTGTGACTGTGAGCTGTAATAGAACGTTGAGTTCACTATGGAGCATCTCCTCAAGACACACTATCAACATAGACTGGTATGTAGTGGTTTTAATCTTGTAGACAATGATGCTATAGAGGCTATGGCCTAAGCAATAGACATAGATACAAAGATGTTGGGAATCCCCAGTAATTTTTATATTGAAGGGAAGTAAATCAAAGCAATTTCACATCTCTCTTGAAAGAAAAATCAGGAAAATCATTATTTAAGGCAGCACCAATATCCAGACTAACCTTGTTGCACATATTTTCCATCCAGCCACCACAGTATTTAAGGGCCCTTGCTAATTCCCCTTTACTTCCAAGATATTGCCAAACTTACATTTATTATATGTGGAGCCAGATCTTCCAGAGGCTAATAATAATGCAGGAAGGACAGACTCCTGTAGGTAGAACGGTCTTTCTCTAATAATAATGATTAAAATTTTAAATACTATTTCTTGCAATCAATACTTTTAAACAGTATCTTAATTGGTTGAGTCAGTGGGCAAAAGTATTACTACATGTCTATAAAATAATCCTCACCTTGCTGCTGAAATAGAGTCAAGACAACTTGACTGCTAATTTTTCATAGGATCTATGATACAGTTTGAAATCCCTCAGTCTGTGTGTCTTTATGAAAGTCCAGTTTGAATTACTGACTTCTCTTTGTATGGGCATTTATTCCTCCTTCCTCTTCAGCTGGATGCTGCTACTTTCCAGAGCTGCTTAAAAGAATTGTCATGTCTCTGCTAAAATGGAACAGAATTGTTCATCTGAGGCAAAGAGGTGGGTACTAACTTACTCCAGACTTGGAGAAAATCTCTCCCCCAGATCTCACAGAGCTTGTCCTCAAAATCAGTAATTAGGAGTGACTGCTCTTTGAAAGACTAGAGCATCCAATCTATCATGCTGGGCTTTTATTCTACTAGGGGATGAAATGACTAACAATGCTACTAGGCATTAGTGATGCAAGAGGTCAAATGTGTTAGAATTTTCCCAGAATCCACTGATTGTGTTCTTTTCACTCAAAGATGTGATCTTCATATTCTCCTCCTGCTGTTAAATGAGAAAAAGGAATCTAATAGGACTCAGATCCCATGAAAAATAAATTCTTCTGTGACCAAGGAGTGTAAGGAAAACCTGAAGGACTACTTGTGTGGATGGATTTGAAGGACAGATTTAAGTCATAAGGAATGCCTATACAACCTGTACTGCTAACACAAATCTGAAACAGTCAGTTTGTTACTATTATCAGAGAACAAAGACAATGTTTGGCGATTTCTCTCTCTTCCTTTCCCTCCATCACAGCAAGGATAAGGAGGATAAGGATTTCCTTTTGCTATGGAAACAAGTTATGGGGTGAAGATTTCACCACAACAAGACAGAGTAGTTATGAGGTCTTACACCTGTGATCTGAATCTTGGCTGTATCATACCTTGCAGAGGTGGCATGATTCGTGGTATTCGGCTGTGGTACTGACCTTTGTCTTATGAAAGCTCATCTGAATGCTCCTAAGAAGAGATGACCTGAAATGAGGATTTTACCTTGGCAAGGAAGACTGAACACATTCAACAGATGAATTATCAAGACCCTCCACGAGATAAAATGAAAGAGCTTTACGTAGCCTGGATGGCATATTATAGGTGAAAACCAGAAGGAAAGGAAAACTGTTAAAAATGAAGAACTCCTATATAGGCTTCAGAATGAATACAAACATGCTGGATGTTCTTATTTAAGCAGCAGCAACAACTAAACTTTCTCATTAAAAAAGCAGCACTGAAGTCTTGTCCTGTGATTAATGGGGGAGCAAATGTAAACTCGAGAGTTCCAGAGCTTCTGTTATTCCAGGCTATGAAGACAAATCCAGATGACTCATGCAAACCGCCTGCAGTCCTAGAAGAACGGATCCAAACTGGTGCTCCACACCTCATGCAGCTGGGGCCCACAACATGGAGGCAGTACTGGCCATACTGCATTCCTCACATGCTGCCTCTCCTTCCGTGTCTGAGCACCAAGTGCTGCTGGGCAGTGTTTCCCAGCAGTGGGGATGAAGATGTAGGGGTTTTTCTGTCCAGATTCTTCTCTGCCCTTCATGCTTCATGAAGTATGCCTACCATATGGGGAGATCTCTGCTTACATGTCATGGGCTTCAGGATTTTTCTGGGCATATATATGACACCCTCGCTTGAGCCCTAGCTCTGTTTCACATGAGAATGCCTCATGTTAGCGCTGCAATAGGAATCTCAGATGGCAGCTTCTTACCAGCTAGTCTGTGCTCCTGGGACAAGAGGATGGTCACAGCACATGGAGCTCACCACAGTTATTGGAACAAGCTGAGAACTCATGCTGTTCTACTAAATGTCAGTCACATACAATGTCTTCTTATGCTCAGAGAAAATACCACAAGGACAGCCAACAAAACGTCCCCTAAAAATGTCAGGCAGATCAAAGCAGGGAGTATGTGTCACAACTGCCATCTTATATTCTTGGTGGCTTTCTAAAGCTATAGTATCTGCTAAGCAAGCAACTTGTACACCACCCCAGAGGGAAGTGAGAAGCCGGGTTAGGTGTTTGTTGATTCTTGGCTCATCTACACAGAAATTATTCAACAACAATTCTGTAAACATCCCTCTCCAGAACAGGTATGCCCTATTTTCCTCTTTAATTAAAACTCACGGTGTTAAACTAAACCAGAACAGCCCAGCCTTATTCTGGAAATTAGTCATGAAATTAGTCAGGAATAGCTCCTCCTGAACAACATGTATAAACAAGCCCATAACAATATTTATGTTGTCTGGAATGGTGGAGGACACCTTCACAGTAAAGTACCTTCCAATCCTCTAAGAAACATGAAACAAGAGTTGTATTTCTTCCGGCTGGGGGCGGCGAACACTTCTCACTCATGTTTGGCCATTCTGCTTGTCCTCGCAGGCCCATTTGAGGGGACAGTGGTGTCCCAGCATCGAGGCCGAGCTTTGCAGGCTGCGCCAGCCCATGCCCCGAGTTGGCGTGTGCCAGATGCGCTGGGCAAGACACACAGCTAGGGGCGATGGATGTATTTTTCCTTTATCCGAGGGGATGGATCAGCAGCCCCCCGGCTCAAGGATGCTATTTAAGATTTCCTTTCGCGCAGGCCAGCCCCGGCGTGCCGGTACCTGCGTGTCACCCCTCCGGGGACGCCGCACCTCGGGGCGGGCACCCCGCGGGGCAGGCGCTTGGAGCGCTCCGCGCCCGCCCGCACCCGCGCGGGCTGGCGGGGCACGCAGGCGCGGCCAACCGGGCGCGGTTCCCGGCGCGCAGCCACCGCCCCCGTGAGCGGCAGGTAGTAGGCTCCTTCCCGCGGCCAGACGCAGGCCGTGCACGTGCGGGGCCGTGCCGGACCGTGCCGTGCAGTGCAGGACGGGGCCGTGCGGGGCCGTGCGGTGCGGGCGCTCGGCGGGGGATGCGCGGCCCCGGCGGGCGGGCGCACCTGGGCGGCGCGGCGCGCGCGGGGCGGGGCGGGGCGCCGGCAGTGAGTGGCAGCGCGGCGCGGGCCAATGGCGGCGCCCGGGAGCGGGAGCCGGGCGGGCGGGGCCGGGCGGCGCGCGGGGGCTGCGCGGCGGAGCGTGTGCAGCGGCGCGCGGGGCCGCGGCCGGTGTCGGTGCGAGGCGCGGAGAGACCCTGCGGGGGGCGGCGGGGAAGACACGGATCCGGATCCCGATCCCGTGCGGCGGCGGCCGTGGTGGTGGCGGCGGCGGCGGCGGGAGGAGCCGGAGCGGCGCGCCGCGGAGGAAGGAAGCGCAGGGCTGGCCGCTGCGTGTGCAACCTGGCTGTTCCTGCTGCCCGCGTCCACTCGCGGCTTTTCCTGCTGGCGCTGCCTGACAGCCGCCCGCCGCGGGTGTTGTCGCCGGGGTCTTTGGCGGGGGGGGGAAGAGCGAGCCGTCCTGCACAGCCCGGAGGCGTGATTGAAAGCCAGCAATAATTAACTGGAGGAGGAAGAGGAGGACGGGGGTGGAGGAAGACGAAGGAGGAAGGCACCGCGCGGCAGAGCCCAGCCGAGCCAGCGAGCGGCGGCGGGACGCGGCAACTTCGGCCGCAGCGGAGGAGCCGGAGCCGTGACCGCAGCGGCCGCCGCCGCCTCAGCCCGCGCCTGCCCTGCCCGAGGGGGGAGAGCCTCGCCGCCTCCCCGGCCGCCGGACATGTCGGAGCATAAGGCCGTTGATCCCAAGTTATCGACGACGGACAGGGTGGTGAAAGGTGGGTGCTGCGCCCCCGCCGCCCTTTCGGCCGGGTTCTCCCGCCGGGCCCCCTGCAAGGGTCGCGTCCGTCCCCCCTTCCCCGCAAGCCCCGGGCAGGTACCGCGGGGCTGCCGGCGGCGCGGCAGCTGGGAGGGGTGGGCTCGGCCCGGGGGCTTGCGCCGGGCCCCAGTGGAGGGTTTGCGGCTTCCCTCGCCTGCCTGCCCGGCGCTACATTGCAGCATTTCCCCCCCTTCCTCCCCCCGCCGCCTCCCCCCCCTCCGCCTTGAAGGCGCTGCACAGGGCTGGCGTGAGAGAGAGGGGGAGCCCCAGCTTCCTCCCCCGCCCCGGTGCCTGGGGGAGAGGAGGGCAGGGCTCGGCCCCCTCCCCCCGCCCGCTCCTCTGGGCATCCCCCATTCCTCCGTCTCCTCCGGACCGCGCTCCCCGGAGCCCCCCCGCAGGCTGCGCCGCCGCTTGTCACTGCCGTTCCGCTCCCCGCATGCAGCAAGGATGCCTGGAAGACTCCCCGCGCCAGCAGCCGGGGCTGCGCTCCCACACCGAGCGCCGCTGCTGGGGACCGGTTGCGCCCCTCGGCTCCGCCGTGCCCCGCTCCCGCAGGGCCGCCCCCGCGGCACCCGCGACGGGGATGCCGGGCGAGGGGGAGCGGGCCGCGGGCGTTGTGGGAGGCGGCGAAAGCTGCTTCCTCCTCCTCCGCCTTCTCCTCCTCCTTCTCCTCCTCCTCCATCGCCGTCTCTTGCTGACGGCCCGGCCTGCTAGGATGTGAAGTTATCCGGCGGGCGTACCGTGTCCGTGCTCCCGCGTGTGCGTGCGGATGGCCGTGTGGGTGCTCGGCACAAACACGGATGGGCTCCATGATCTTTTCTCTGCTTCGGAGGGACGCCTGTGCTGCCAGCCTCGGCCGTATAAACAAATGAGAGTTTGGGTTGACAACACGTTGTGCCCCGCAGTACAGACCAAGGTTTTATTTACTGGGTGATGCCTGATGTAAATTGCACATGTGCATTTCTCGGTGTGTAGGAAGTGCACGTGTATTTAGTGGTCTGGGTTTTTTGTTTGTTTGTTTCTTGTTTGTTTCTTCCTTCCGCACTGGGCGCACAGCCAAGTGTATCCAGCTGTAGTGTATTTCACCCAGTTAGGTTATAACCCGTATGCTACGGTGGACAGCACAAATCCGAGGTGCAGCATGGATGTGTCCATATCCTGGGAAAGCTGGAAATGGAAATGGCCTTGAAATACATACACTTCTGTATTTACATGAGTGTATGCCAGAATGAAACACTCAGTGTAAATATTATTTGGGAAGATGTGTTATTTATGGTTTTGTGTTTATATTTACATTTACCATCTTATGCCTTTTCCCCTCTTACTTCATTTTATGCCCCTCCAAAGGAAAGTGTAGGTATTCAGATATTATAAGAAACATAATTGCAAGAATTTTAAGAAAATCGCTTGTAAATTCACCTTTAACTTGTAATATCTGGAATATTTACAATTTAAGCTTCAGTCCATTATATCACCCCAAGAGTAGGCTTTAAAGCCTGTGTTTAGCTGATACTCCTCTCCTGTAGAAACAACAAATGGCCATCCTGTTAGGAGATTATGGAGTATCTCTTTTTTTTTTTTTAATTTCCTTAATCTGCGTGGTCCTAGTACATGACCAAACGTCCTGATCTTTGCTGTGGCCAGCTTCCTTTGGCTTAAGACAATGTTTGTAATCAACAGGAATTATTTCAGTATTTACAAAACCTTTAGTGCTTTCAGCTCATCTGAATGTGTTTTGTCAGCAATTGCTCTTTGTGTTTTTCCCACATGTAAATGTCTCAAACATCTAAAACCACTATTTCTAAGAAAACTTAGCAGTGTGTATAGTTAAATACTTTTATAATGCAGCTCAGAGAGAAATCAACTTGGTTAAAGTGAGTTCAAGTCTTGAGCGAAAAGAACATACATGCTGCTTGGGTGTCCATTGCCCCTGCTAACTGTTTGTCTTATAATGTCAGTGTTTCAGTGGAGATGTGAAGATCTGCTTAACTGCTTCAGGCCTCCATTAAATATTGAAATCCTTTTAAAATAGCATCTGAAGAGTGTAGTACACAGTCAAGTGATAGTTCATGGGATTATTCTTTGCTGCATCATAGGCACTTCACACTGCCTTCCTATGGACATTAAGGAAGTCAAGAAACTGATGGTAATAAAGGAAAGATCACCTTGTTGTTTCTGTCATATAGGACATGATTTTTACCCTCTTGAGATGAAGAACTGAAATGTGCTTGCAATGTCAAATTAACACAGAATAATTAAATTGAAAGTTATATTGTAAGCACCTCTATAAGTAGTTGAAGTCTTGTTATTTTAGAGAGAATAACCAGATACGGTAACACTGGTAAAGTGTAACCTGAGAAAGCAAGCTAGTTCTTCTAAGTTAGAATATCATATAAAACCTTACTTAAAGGAAATGCCTTTAACATGGATGTAGTCTCCAGATTAAATTTTTCCCTCTGCTTGACTGTGTGGGATTTTTTTTTGTTTGATTTTATTATAGGGGTTTTTTTTGTTTGTTTTTTTTTTTAATCCTCTTGATTGCTGGTGTGTGAGAGGAGATGTTTCCTACTAACAGTAACTCTGAGCTGGCTGGTGAAAAATCCTGGCTTGGCACTGTTACGTAACAGTGGGATGGGCTTGGGGGGGATTACAGTTCCAGCAGCTTTGTGCAAATTGCTTGTGCCTGAGAGCTGCTTCTTCAGGGGGTTGCTCTGGGTTTGATTTTGTTTTTTGCTTCTCGTGCTTAAAACGCTCAAATATATGGAGAAGTGGAGCTTTTCCATAGGCGAGGATTTAATCTCATACTCATTTTTCTTTGCTTTTTGAATTGTCTGAACTGTGCTTGAACTGATTTGACTCAAAAATGAAACACGCTTTTGGGATGTGGGGAAAAAGGCTTGGGAGCCCCTAATGTTTTTAACGTCTTGGTCTTCTGGCTTTGTTATGCATATCTTACACTGTCATACGATGAGAAGTGTAAAGATGAAATTCAGGTTTGTGTGTAATGGTAACTTTCCAGAAGCAAATTAACTAGTTAAAATTGACAAAACTGTCTGTTTTGTTGGGCTAAAGAAAAAAGTAAAATTAATCCAGAGAATGCAGTTATGGTTTGAGGGGCACTTTCATTTTACTCTGGTGCTCTCCTGAGGATGGTATGTATGTTGTGATGCAAATCACACAATTCATCTTTACTCTGAATTTTGTCATGCTGTAGAGGAGCAACGCTTTGGTCTGTTGACTGCAAATATGATAAACTGTATATTCAGGTGCATTCAGAAGTTTGTGGGATCAAGGCTCAGGACAACATACTGTTGCAGGAGGTGCTGACTTGATGTGCTTATAATTAATTGAAATTCCTTGCCTTTTTGTTAGTGGTATGGTGCAGCTTTCACTTGAACAGAGCTGTCTTAAAAGTTAGTGTCTTTCTTTGTGACTGAGGAAGCTATTCCTTATCCATGCTGTTTCTAACTCCTGAGACTTGGCAGCCAGAGTGTAGGCTTGGTTGTTCCTGTGAAGGTAGGAATACCTGTCCAGGGAAAACTGGACTGAGGATAGTAGCTCATTTCACATGGCTCAGCTGCCTGATGTCAACAGCTTTTGCTCACTACTGACATTAGCAAGATTTGAACCCCACCCAGGGGGAAGGAAAAGCCATGTATCATGTTACTTGACCTCCTCAACGTGTTTAGTGTTGCATTAGTGCCTCTGAGGAATACTGCACTAAAGCATAGTAATCATAAATAAAATTTTGAAAGTCAACTGGAGTAGTTGTACAAAAAAAGTGAAGTCAGTATTTCTTGGAAATCTTGCAGTTAGTTAAGGACACTAATTGTTTTGATTTTTTTTCCTGGGCAGGTCAGATGCTTGTATGCTTTTGTCTGGGTTTTTCTGTTTGGTGCTTTTTTATTGGAAGTGGAGTTTTAATGAAATAATTCTGTCTCAGTTGTTTAGAAGGGCTGTAGCCATGGCTTGTGATCCTTGGTGTTGTCCTTTCCTCTTGTGCGTTGCATGGGGAGGTGTACATGGTTATATCAGCAATTGACAATACACAATAAAACCAGACACTGCTGTCTCTGGATTTCAAACTGTGTTACTGTTAATGCTCTCCTAAAGTGCAGGCTGACAGTTGTTTGTAATGTAATATGAATGCCAGCTCACGATCGATATCTCACCATCAGTGTTAATTTCAGATTTGTGAGAGGCAAAATTGCTGTCAATAATGGAAACTCTAAACTTCATTGGTAATTCCCATTAGTCCAGGGAGACTTGTGTATGTTCACCAAAGGCTTGTGCTCCAGGCTGGAATCCAGCACTGGTGAATTGCAGAAGCCTGCTTCTGTTTTTCCAGCATAGATGTGTCCTGCAAGTGCTTCAGTGGTTTTTGAGCAATGCGTTGACCTGAACATCTCTAATGCTGGTGGATTTGGTGTTTATTTTGGTGTAAATTTGGGTATTGCCTATTTATGGCAAGGACCAGGGTTACTTAAATAGTTTTAACTGTCTAATGCAGCAAAGGATGATAGGCCTCTCTTTTGAGGATGATCCTCATGAGGAAAAAGAAGGAATTGCTTTGTAGCTGTTTCTGTTGGCATAGGAAAGCTCACTTTAATGAATTTATTGTTGTTACGTAGGGGTACACTGCTTGTCCTGAGGAAGACTGCATGTGGGTTCAAGGTGTACTATTAACTAGAGAATCCACCCACAGCTATGCCAGAAAGGTGGCACTGGTAGAGCTGGGGATTGATTCTGTTCCCTGTCCATTATTACCTTCATTTGAAGGAGCAGGTGTACATCCACCTCAGTTTTAGTACTCCATAGTTGCAGATCTCCAGGTACCTTTAGGAAACAAGCTGTGTGAGAGGCACCTAGGAGCAGAAAACAGTTGAATATACTTGGAGAGATATTATGGTTGTTTAGGAAAGAAAATAAGGTTGCTGTGTTATGATTTCTTATGTATGT